GGGGGCAGCCTATGTGCAGCCAGCCTTAAAGAGGAACTATAGTAAATCCTGTAGGTGCTTTATAGGATTATTGCAGCGACGCTGCAAACACAAAAACAGCATTAGGAGTATGATAAGGTTGCCACAGATAAGTCCTGATAGAAGGATCATTACGCACATCGTTGTGAGTCCACAGGAGAAAGAAATCTTTACTTTAAGCCCCTGAACTCAGCCCTAAATCTCAACAGGAGAAATCCAGATGTGCCACAGCTACACTGGACTCACATCTGGTAACTGTGTAAGCCTTCACAGGGTAAAACAACGTTTCAGTAAAAATATTACAGAAATAAAACGGCTACGTCACATTTCGGGTCAAAGATTGTCGCACTCAGTTTCTCGTTTCAGTTTTCAGCTACTGGTCCATGATGGCCTATAAGCCTCATCCCAACCACTCCCACCAGGAAAAAAATCAACAAGTAAATAATTTGAGAGCCTGAAAAAAAAAAACAATACAGAATAAAAGGAGAATAGTTCTTTAGAGTCCGTCAGCCCCATCGCTAATGGATAAAGTGTTTAAGCTCAATAAAATATCACGATTATATAATGATGGTAGTCATTTGTGTGGGAACATTATCATTCAACCAGGGTAACAGGTAGCAGCGTTTCCCTGGTGTCTACACAAACTAATCCTCCTACAATGTATTATTACAGGATTTAACAATAAAAAAACAAAACAACAGTTCAGTGCTTTTAAAATGGACAGCGAATGCATAACTTACCCAGTCACTGCAGTGGGTGAGAAAACCCACTGCATCTGTCTGAACATAACCGTAACCAATGATTCATCCTGCAACCGTCAAACGATACAGTCGTCCTTTTGCAGATGCACAAACTTGGAAACTCCAGACCAATCATACGTTTCTAAGATTGTGGTTTTTTTAGTAGCTAAACATTAAATCTGGATCCATTTTTGCATCAGATAAAAATGTTACACTAGGCTGTCAACAGTGCAGCACCTGTGTGTGGTGTGTGTGTGTGTGTGTGTGTGTGGGGGTGTGGGGGGGGGGGGGGGGGGGGGGGGGGGCATAAGAAAAAGGACACACATGCACACTATAGGTTTATTAGACCGTGGTTATGAAAGACTTACTTCATCTGTTTGACGATGGTGCTTTTCCCTGACTCTCCGGCCCCTGAGGGATAAGAGACAAGAAGACAATATAAACAGGGTGTGTGTGTGTGTGTGTGTGTGTGTGTGTGTGTGTGTGTGTGTGTTTGACAGAAAGATGGAGATAGTGTCAGAGAGGAGGGGTAGGTAGGGAAGAGAGAGAGAGGCAGGGAGGTATGTGCACAGCACAGCAGCAGCGGGTGGAGATGAAAGAGATGGACAAAGTGGCTGAAGCCTTTCTTCCTCAGCCTCTTCCATCCTCCATCTTGCAACAGAGTCAAACAGATTAAACACTCGAGGTTAATTTCGCGCAAAGAATCAATGAATCAATCCCAAACCAATGAAGCAGTGCTGCCTGTGCGGGCCCTCCACTGCTGCATGCTGCCATTTTTTCGCCTTGGCTTCCATCTGCAGCTAACATCTCTGGTGTAGATGTCATCTTTTACCGACCCACCGACTGATTGCGCGTTAAAACATTTGGACCATCTGCCGTTATTCAAGCAGGTGGCTTCAAAACGACGCAATAGGAAGGAAGGGTTCCTTCAAATGCACAATAAAAAAATCATAACGCATCTTTGTTCTTGTTGTTGAATATAGTTTGTGACAGACGTCGACAGTTTCTGTCTTTTCTTTCTTTATTTCCAACACCAACCCACACCCACCCACGCGCGCGCGCACACGCACACACACCACACCTTCCCACGGCCCCAGGGTCTCATTTCTCAGCCCTGGCGCTACCAGCCGAAGAGAAGGGCATTAAAGCCAAGTCTCTTACCGAGCAGCAGCAGTTTAACATCTTTGGCCGCGGTGAGGCCGTCCTCCTTCAGGTTTTTCTCGATGGCTTTGCTCCGATCCAGAGCCGCCCTCTCCTCTGCGCTCAGAGTACATCCCATGGTCAGAGAACACAGCTTGATAGAGTATCGGTACCGGGATCCACGGAAGAAAGCGCAATAATTAGACGAATGAATGAAACTTCAATTGCAAATCCTTTTTCTTTCCTTCGCTGGTTTATTGCCCCCCTTTTCTCTGCTCAGGCTTCGATCCCTCTACGATCCCTCTGTTTCTTTCTGGGCAGCCGGGTAGAAGCACCGTTAAAGCATTGAAATCAGGGATCCGCTCGGTTTGATCCACAGCGCAACACCGAGACGATATAGCCTCCGCAGCTGGTCGCTTCTCACGCGTGGTCTCGGAGCTGGTCCGTCCTTTATCCGTGTCTTTCTTTTCTCTTTTTTTCCTCCGTTAGTAAATCACGATAACGGTTCCCTTCTTCTTCTTCTTGTTCTTCTTCTTCTTCTTCTCCACTCGTCTATTCTGCGTTACTGGGCGGCGGTGCGCATTGCTCGGTTCTTCCGTTTGGCTCCTCCGGGGCGGGCGGCGGCGGGGACTCGCTCTGTAACACTACTGCCTCCCGGTAGCTCCGGTAGGGGCTCAGTGCTCCGTTAGTTCATTCGTTCAGTTGCAGGTTTCTGACGTCAGAGCAGTGAAAACAAATGTGGGAGAGCACATCCACGCTCCCAGTGGCGCGGCCTTGTGGCGCACTGGTATATAGTACCATCATGGGCTTCAGAAACAGTTAAACCCAAAGCGACTCCAGGTTAAGTTGAGGTGAGGTTGATCTGTCTATAGGTCCGATGGCTCGTAGAAAATCACATAAAGTAAGGTTAAATGGATATCTCATACTCGATAGAGCAACAGATTTCATTTTCAGACGCATAAAACTGCAAATGCATGAGATTTGTTTGCTCGTGTAGCTTTCTCTGAAGTTCTCTTCAGTAATAATGTCCTGGCATCATTGTATAAGACACTTGGACTGATCTGAAAGTATCTCTGAGACTCTTCCCAAAGACAGCAGTGCGGTGGTTACATGCAGGGCTGGATCTAACCTTTCTGATACCCCAGGCTAACTCATGATTTGGTACCCCCAACCTCCTTACATATTCATTTTTACCACCACAAGTTTTTGAGAAAATTGTCCCTTTTAGGTATGTAAATGGCCCGAAGGAAATGTACAGGATAGATGGATTCCCATTTTTGGCAAACAGGTTAAAACCCAATTTTTGTAATTCACAGGGCAAAAGTTTGTTGGACAATTTAAAGCAGGGGCGGCCAACTCCAGGCCTCGAGGGCCGGTGTCCTGCAGGTTTCCCCAGTCTTATAAAATGTCCTGTTTATAAGATTTGGGGAAACCTGCAGTCAGCTGAGACTGAAGAAGTCACTTGGAGTGACGAAACGTTTCTCACACAAAACGCTACGTCCAGATGAACAGAATCAACTTTTGCACAACAACATTTAGCTACGTGGAGCATGAATTAGCTAAGGTAAACACAAACACGTATGTTCAGCATCTGGTAAACAGCTGCGAGTGACCAAAGGTCATGAAACAAAAAAGACAAGTAGCCAGTGCATTAGCAGTGATCAGAATTTCATCCTACAAACAAATATTTAATCCAAGATTAAATATCGAAGCTACAGTATTAGTTTATATTTTGACTATAATTCAATACAGTTGCAGTTCTAATATCACAAATGTGTTCATGGACATAATATTGTTAAGGAAAAAATACTGAGGGAGGCAGCTGTTCCATTACATCGTTTTTATTGAGTTGCTGGCTTCATACAGCCGCACTGTTCATCTAACCATCACACTGTTTGTGGAAATGGAGCCATTTTCCAGCTGATTGTGTGGCTGTTTGGTAATAATCAGCATCATCAACAATATGACATGGAGAAACACGCATTACATGCACACCTTGTACCCCTCTGTTTGCACAAGATCATCTAAGATGCCTTGCTTTTATTGACTTTGTGTAATATTTCAGTCTTGATATTGTAGTCAATTGGGAAAAATGACACTGGCTTTGAGAAAGAAAAAGAAGCCCTCAGTGGTTACAGCCATGACTAATGGTTGGATCTTGGCTACAGCTCTGAGGTTACATATGTGGCAAAATAAGAAGCTTCTGGCCCAACTTTCCTCAGCGTAAGTGTTTTCGTGCCTTCATTTGGATCTATTTTAAAACTTCAGACAACATCATCCTTTGCTAATAATTGATCAGACATGAGACTTTAGAGTCATAGTTTCCGGTATGTTGGCGATGGTGTTTGGCTCTGCCGCTGCCGGGTGCAGTTTGTCGCGCTCTACTACTGTTGTGTTGTTTTTTCTGCTCTACTGTTCTCACTCAGTTTTAATGATGTATTTGCTGCTCTGGTGTATGATCGCCTGGCAAAGCCAGGCTATTTACCATGATGCCACACGATGTCTCGTCCTCCTCTGGCATTTTCCACCCTCCTCCATTAGCTGGATCCTCGTCAGGCGATTTCAGTGGTCCCTCTAGAGCATAGGTGTCAAACTCTGGCCCGCGGGCCAACTTTGGCCCGCAGCCTAATTATATTTGGCCCTCGAAGCCATACCAAATTACTATCAGAGCTGGCCTACTGGTATTATACAGCTAATATATATATTGTTTAGTATTAAGCTTTGCTTGTTCCATATTCAGTTTTCCAGCAAAACGTGTTTGAGTCCATAAGAAAAGATTTATTCTTATATCTGATCTGGAGGAAGATTTTTTTTTTCAATAAATATTAATGTTAGCCCGCGACTTTGTTCCAGTTTGAATTTTGGCCCACTGTGTGTTTGAGTTTGACACCCCTGCTCTAGACCACAGAGAAGGAGAAGGAGAAGAGGAGGTATTCAGGTAAAGCTCGGGCTTTACTGGCGGCGTGGTTTGGCTGGTAAGCGACGTTGAGCGTGCGTTGTCTCCTGCGTCCAGAAAAGCTCCATGGAGGGCGACTTGTTTTCCACGGCCTTGTTTGGATGCGCTGGGCCTGGCTCTTTGAGACCGTGCCACCTCAGGAGGGTTTATCCAGACTCTTCTGCGGGCTGGCTTTTTCTTCCCTCGGTGAGTGGATTCTACGAGCGTGACGGCTCGAACCCTGTGTATTTACGTCCCTTAACTCGAGCCTCTGCAAATAACGAGGCTTCTAGCTCACTGAATATGGCGCATTTTAACGCTCGATCTCTCTCTAATAAATCATTCTTGTTGAATGATTTTATATTATCTAAAAAACTGGATTTTTTACTCCTGACAGAGACCTGGCAGCAGGATGTAGACTACACGTCACTTATTGAACTCGGCCTGGATGGCTGTACTTTTATTACCCGGCCTCGGTTGTCTGTCGGGGTGGTGGGCTCGCCGTGGCTTTCCAGGACCGTTTCTCCTGCCGCTCCGTGAAAACTGGACTTTTTCGTTCGTTTGAGCTGCAGCTGCTTAAAATTGGTAACAAGGATCCTTTGAGCTGTGCTGTGGTGTATCGTCCACCTGGATATAAGAGGTTATTTTTATCGGAGCTCAGCGACTTCTTATCCGCTGCTATGAAGCTGTCTAGAGTGCTTATAGTTGGGGACTTTAACATTCACGTTGATGATGACTCCGACCTATTCGCCAGAGACTTTATGAACATTATGGATTCTTGTCATTTTGCTCAGCATGTGTCCTACACACAGCAAAGCTCACACACTGGACCTTGTCTTTACTTTGGGTTTAAATATTGATTTTATTCGCTCTGAGGACATTTTTATTTCTGTTCACTATGTTATAGTTTTTAACTTATCTTTTAATGAGCCTTTGTCCCCCGTCAGACGGATGGTTAGCTCTCGCATCTTAAACTCCTCCACAGCGGAGAAATTTGTGGATGCTTTTAACTTACAGCTATCTCCTCAAAATGGTGTTGATTTCTCAACCAGTCTTTTTAATAATTATTGCTATATTTCTGTTTTAGATTAAATCTGTCCGGTTAAGACAAGAAGTGTTTCTGCCTCTAAATCTCCTCCTTGGCTAAATGACAGTATTTGTTGTCTAAAACGTGATTGTCGTAAAGCGGAGCGCAGGTGGAGGAAAACTCATCTAAATGTTCACCTCCTCTATCTTAAGGACCTTTTAGCTTCTTTTAATAATGCGATCAGAGATGCGAGGGCTGCCCACTTCTCACACTTGGTTACAAAGAGCAGAGGCAATCCTAAGGTGCTATTCAACACCATTGGTGACATTGTTACTCCTGCTCTGCCTGCGGCCCTTATTTTTTCTAACGAGGACTGTGAAAATTTTCTGCTTGCAAAGATTCATAACGTGAGAATGAGTTTTACACACTCAGCACCTGTTATCTCGATCTCTACCCCATGTTGACCCGCTATCTTGGATACTTTCTCTCCTGTTTCACTGCCTGAGCTGGTAAAATTAGTGAATTCAGTGAAAGCATCCTCCTGTTCACTTGACACTGTACCTGCATCATTATTCAAAAATGTCTTCCAGTCTATTGGCCCATGTGTGCTCACTTTAATCAACTCTTCACTGGCGTCTGGTATAGTTCCGGTTTATTTTAAAAACGCTGCTATTCTCCCACGTTTAAAACAACCTCAGCTTGACCCCTGTGTTTGGAGCAGCTACAGACCTCTCTCTAAGTTACCGTTAATCGCTAAGCTTCTAGAAAAGGTTGTAGCTAAGCAGCTTATGGCAGCTCCTGATAAACATGGCATTTACGATAAGTTTCAGTCCGGTTTGCGTCGGTTTCACTCCACGGAGACAGCTCTTCTTAGGGTCTCAAGCGATATCTTGATGGATAATGATGCAGGAAAATGCTCTGTTCTACTCATGTTGGACCTCACATCAGCTTCCGACACAGCTGACCATCACGTCCTCATTGAAAGGCTGAAAAATTGTGTTGGTGTATCTGGAACTGCATTAGAGTGGTCCTCTTATCTCCATCACCGATCCTTTCCTGTGGCAGTCTCCGATTTTCGGTCATCCTCTACCTCCCTTACTTACGGTGTCCCTCAAGAGTCAGTTTTGGGGCCTTTATTGTTTTTAATATATCTTCTCCCCCTCCAGCATATAATGGGCTCTTTTGAGGACATTTCTTATCACTGTTATGCTGATGATATTCAGTTGTACGTTTCTTTTATGCCCCAGGATTTATCTAAGCTTCAGC